AAAGACTAAATAAATTCCAAAATGTAACATCCTCAAATCCGGCAGTGGACTCAGTCAAGTAGGTAGCTTTGGACAGTGAGCCGTAGGGTCGCCGGTTCAAGTCCCCGACCAGACCTAAATATGGAGTGTGGACTGCTACTTGGAGAGGTCCCAGTTCACCTCCTGCCCTGCCGTGGTGCCCTTGAGCAAGGCACCGGACACTCCCATTGCTCCCCGGGCGCTGTACCACTGCTCCTAGTACTAGACCCCTGGTACTAGGATGGGTTAAATGCAGAGAACACATGTCACTGTGTGCTCTGCATGTGTGACCATTAAAGAGGGTTTCATCCCTCCCAATTATGTTCTATCAAATATCCTCAGAATTGAAGTCTTTACTCATTCAAAATCTGGTTCATGATTTATAAATAAAAGGTGAGATCCTGCTGTGGTGCCCTTGAGCAAGGCACCGGACATCCCCTTCCCCCCTCACTCCCATTGCTCCCCGGGCGCTGTGCAATAGCTGCCCACTGCTCCTAGTGCTAGACTCCTGGTACTAGGATGGGTTAAAAGCAGAGAACACATGTCACTGTGTGCTCTGCATGTGTGACCATTAAAGAGGGTTTCATCCCTCCCAATTCTATTCTATCAAATATCCTCAGAATTGAAGTCTTTACTCATTCAAAATCTGGTTCATGATTTATAAATAAAAGGTGAGATGAGAAAAGATAGCAAATCTGTAGTCAACATTTTATGCTGAAACTGAAAATATTAATTTTTTTCACTATTTTAATTTACGAAAAAATCTGCATGCAAGTTTGTTATCATGGAAAACGCATTCCACCACCACACAAAAACATAATCTTTGCAAAGAACCTTCAAGTTGAGAAGCATTTTAGGAGCTATAACCCCTTTCTAAGAAGTGTATTCAAAAGCTGAAGTAAAACACTGCTGAACCACGTCAAAACAATCGATAACAACGTGTATTGTAATACCCAAAAAAGCATAATCTTTGCAAATAATATTCAAGTTGAGAAGCATTTTAGGAGCCATAACCCCGATAACATCTCAAAGCGATCTATACAAACGTGCATTATGGAAATGTTTGCTTGCTAAAATGCTTATTTCTGAGGGCATTTTATGAACTGCTAAGTCATTGTCTCTCTGTTTCAGAAACAAAAGGCTTAGGAACTTAACACTAAAACAGCTATAAGACTAGATGCTCTCCCTATAGATAGAGCAGTGAGATCAGATGTAAGATGACAGACAGAAATGTGAAAGAAAAGGAGGAGAAAACAGCGGGGCGTCGTCTCCTCAGGTGTCGGGTGGGAACAGGGGGAATGGGGTGCAGAAGATAAATATTGGGAGCTGTGAGAGAGACGAGCAGGAGGAGAAGCTCAAGATGGCTTCCCCCTGCAGATGTTGACAGAAAACACATGGGAGGAGAACAAAGGAGATATGGCTCCCCTGCAGGTGGGAAGAGCTCGGATTGAGAGATGGAGGCGAAGGAGAGCAACGGGGGAATAGATAAGACAAGACGAAGATATGGGATGATGAAGAGGAGAGAGCAGGAAGGGATGTGTGTTTACATTTATTTTTGGGAGGCATATATCAGCAACTCGAGAATATATTTACACTTTTAAGGAAATGCCATCACAGCATATGAGACCCTGGCGTCTTCAGAAATCTCTGCTTTACAAAAGGCTGTTTCGAATAACACAACAATACATTTTAAAGGACTTTTATTTTCATAATGAAATGAGAACTCCAGCATGTTACCCTTCTGACTACTTGGTGTTGATATAGGAGATTTGAAATGGTTTCCACTTAACTTGCTTTGACTTAATAATACACAATGCATTTTGCACGTAACACCTTCAGGGGATAAAACCCTCATATCTTTAAAGACACCTAAAACAGGTTGTAGTCCTGAAGGCTAATGTCAATGCTACCAAACACTCAAATGTAACCAGGAGCGGACTGGCCATCGGGACATTCTGGACGAATTGCGATGGGCCGGTACTGAAGTGGGCCGGTCGGATAAGTCACTAGCACCCTCCCCCCCCCCGTCGACAATTTACAAGCGGTATTTACTTGCGGCACCGAGGTGGGCCGGTCGGATAAATCACCAGCACCCCACACCGTTGACAATTTACTAGCGGTAATTAGTTGCGGTACCGAGGTGGGCCGGCGGTACCGAAGTGGGCCGGTCGAGAGTCCCGGGCTGATTTGTAGTCCCGCCCCTGAATGTAACCGTTGCTGCTCATTAGTTAGCTTGTTGCCTTTTCAGGTGAATCTATATATATTGTTTGTACTGTTATTACCTTATGCTCCCCATGTAAAGATCACAAACACGTAACAACTATCGGACGATAACGTAATTTTCCCTCCAAAAAACACGAGGTTCAAACTGTAAAACAAATATTCCACTCCGCTAAAGGTAGAAAAACAAATCCCACAACATTACTCGGCCCTTTTCATTTGTCACGTCACATTCGAGCATTCAAAAATAAAATGCAATTTTGTGCACCATTTTAAATGTGATTAAGATGAACAATGGTGTTATAATTACTTGTACACATTCTGAATATGGCTCAACACTCAAAGCAGCCCTAATGACAATTGATAACAGATTGAATTGGATATCTGATGTCTTATATTTTATATTGCGTCGTCGTATTGGACCAATACTGACAGTAAATATCAGTTTGATGTTCTGCTAAGCGCCCCGACAAACATTCCTGATGTCATCTTGCAATATACTCATTTATATAAATAGTTATCAGCGCAATAAAACAAATTTAATTGTGTCTTAATTTACATTATTTTATTTAATATCTGTTCGTGTACATATCATATTCTATTGACATGTATATAGACTTTTTACACTTTTTATTTTGTATTTTATTCTATATGTTGCAGGAGCTCAGGTCAGAATAATTTCATTGCCATTTCTACACTGTAGCTTTGTGCCTAAGACAATAACACCTTTGAATCCCTGGACCAGAACTTTTGGGAAAATGAGTAACATACTTGAGCATGGAGTAGATTATACTCATTGTAGGCTTAGCTATTATGTTTTTACTTGAAACACATGGAGGCAGGAAGTACTGAGAGACTCCTTCACAGCTTGCTCATTGTTCCCTCACCACCCTCACCACATTTGTAAAAAAATCGTCTCTCTGTACGCATCCTGTTCGAACCCCTCTGTTCACTCCCCTCCCCTCGTATGGACAGCGTTTCTCAGCTTCCATTGTTGTCTAATTAGCCGTACAGTGTGCAGATAATAGGGAGAGCTGCATACCTTGGACAGCCTGAGTGCGCTGCCAGGATGCCCACAATACTCTCCGCTGTGCCCAAAGCTTTGCCTGATCGCTGCCAGGGAGGAGACTGGCATGGGAACATGAGGGAAAGACTGGCACAGGTATACAGACAGTGACACGCACTTTAAAGCTGCGCCAGCATACATAACATGCCAGGGCTTCTCCTGTCAGATGATCTGTGTGTGTGTGTGTGTGTGTGTGTGTGTGTGTGTGTGTGTGTGTGTGTGTGTGTGTGTGTGTGTGTGTGTGTGTGTGTGTGTGTGTGTGTGTGTGTGTGTGTGTGTGTGTGTGTGTGTGTGTGTGTGTGTGTGTGTGTGTGTGTGTGTGTGTGTGTGTGTGTGTGTGTGTGTGTGCATTCAGTTGTCTGCTTGTGTGTGCGTCTGTGTGTGTGCATTCAGGGTGTGTGTGTGTGTGCGTGTATCTGTGTGTGTGTGTGTGTGCGTGCATCTGTGTGTGTGTCTGTGTGTGTGTGTGTGTGTGTGTGTGTGTGTGTGTGTGTGTGTGTGTGTGTGTGCGTGTGTGCATTCAGGTGTGTGCGTGTATGCATTCAGTTGTCTGCTTGTGTGTGCGTCTGTGTGTGTGCATTCAGGTGTGTGTGTGTGTGTGTGTGTGTGTGTGTGTGTGTGTGTGTGTGTGTGTGTGTGTGTGTGTGTGTGTGTGTGTGTGTGTGTGTGTGTGTGTGCATAGATGCAGGTGTGCATGTGTGCATTCAGGTGTTTGTTTGTGTGTGCGTGTGTGTGCGTCTGTGTGTGTGCATTCAGGTGTGTGTGTGTGTGTGCGTGCATCTGTGTGTGTGTGTGTGTGTGTGTGTGTGTGTGTGTGTGTGTGTGTGTGTGTGTGTGTGTGTGTGATAAGCCCTGTGCTCCTGTGTTTGCTGAGGGAACATGTGTGTCAGTGTGATAACAAAGCATCTCTGCAGCGGGGTGAAGACCAGGATGTAGTTTTTTCATCCCATCAAACGCATTCGCAATGTTAACACAAACACCAAACATTCCCAGAATGCACTGGTGGGGGGTTTTTTCTTCTTTGAGAGCTGGAAATCAGTTCTTCAAAAGGATTTTATTCTCCTGGTGGGATTGAATTAGAGAAAAAGACATCAAAGGCTGAATATGTTATAATTAATCCTTTTTAAATAATGAAATTATGTACGTTTCTCTTGAAAAACAAAAAAAAAGTAAAATAATTAACTTTTAATATCGTAAATGTAACGTTTTTAAATGTTTCTTTGATTTTTTTACTAAATGTGGTGACTTACAGACTAAAATAGTGTTTTTTAGTCACATTGCATACCTCAAATCGCAACGCTTTAAAAACACAGTAATGAAAAACCTTGAGAAACTATTTTTGTTTCTTTATCTCATATTTTTCAGATTTACAAAATATCTTATTCTGCTCATTTCAGATATGACCATTTCCTGAACTAATGTAAATGCAGCCACATTGCTTGAAGTTTTTTTTCCATTATATAGCTGATTGTATCTCCAACAGTCGGCCTTACAGCGAGTATATTTCACACTAACACAGATAAGACTAAATGTCAAAATGTAATCCATCACAGATTGGCGAATACACCTGCATTAAACCGTACCTGATAAACATAATCCAACAGATTAGTCAAAGCACAGCAGCTAAGTATCATTGTTGTAACTGTTACACAATTATCATAAGGAAATAGACTATATCATTGAATTGTTCGTCAGTTATTCCTTTGTAAGGAGTCTGGATGTCGAACTGTTTTCACAACCTGGACTAAATGTTGTGAATGTGAGCGCTAACAGGACGACAAAACACACAGGTTTTAACCCCCCTCACTTTCTTGATTTGTATTCCTTGCTGCATCTTAGGGATGTCCCGATCACCTTTTTTTGCTCCCGATCCGATTCCGATCATTTGATTTTGACAATTTGCCGATACCGATTTTTCCCGATCTGATCTTTATGCAATGCATTAAGAGAAAAAAAAGCATTCAAAAAAAGCATTCAAGTTGTCCCTTAAGGTTATTTTTTTTAATTTAAATTGGATATTCTATCCAACATGGATATAGCTTCTTTCTTTCACAGCAGCATTGGATCAGTTCAGTTGTGCAGCATTGGATCAAAACAAAATAAAGCTTATCAGTACTCGTTAGCTTACTGCTACAATTAGACACTGCGCCCTGCCCACTCTGTTGCCAGATTTCAGAGAAATAAGCAACCAGGTCTATGAAAACAAGCCCCAAAGAAGCAACACATACATGATGTTCTGTAATTTGAAACCAAAACTAAGGCCTCAGGATGACTTTAAGACTTGAACATGGTCATTTTTGTTTTGTAACATTGAATACAAAATTTAAAAAAAAGTATTTAAAAAAAAACATTAAAAAAAACAACAATCCCGATCCCTGATTTTTTCCCTCCCGATTCCGATCTTTTGAAAATCACGTGATCGGCTCCGATCCCCGATCACCTGATCGGATCGGGACATCTCTACTGCACCTGACATGATGTTATATACAGTTTATATATAGTGTGTGAATATAAGTGTCAAAGCAATATGCTGCGGAAATCAATGTTCCTGCTACCTGCCATCTACACCTTTTATTCCTGTATGGAAGGTGTCCCCTCGGTCCTGAGAGGCGAGACAGTGCAGCTGACAGGAGACAAACAGCTGCTCATTGTGTTGAGTTTCTAAATTGGGGTTATTTTAGACCTGAGTTTGGTGTAGACAGATTTTAAAAAAACACGTGTCAAACTGATGTGTTTTTCCTTTAAGTCACGAAACATTTCCCAGGACAGTGAGGGCAGAATGTATTCATATTAAAGTAGCATTATGTATAAATGTGTCTGTTGATTGTGTATATATAGGTGTGTTTTTATATTTCTATATATATTTGTATTTTGTATTCCTCGGGATTGTGGGAAGCGTTATTTCGATCTCTCTGTCTGTACACGCAAACTGAAAGATTAACGACAAAGTTCCCTTTGACTTTGAAAGGGACAAAGTGAATAATAAAAGCCCTCTGCAGTTGTTGAGTGATGAAGCTGACAATCTCCTTTTTTTCTCAACTCCCCTTCTCCATCTTTCTCCCCCATTTGTCTCTCGTCTTTCCCCCATTCTCCCTCCTCCTCCTCCTCCTCCTCTTCCTCCCTCAGTTGGTCCCCATATTGGTCGTTATTGTGGCCCGACGTCCCCGGGCCGTGTGATCTCGTACACCGGCATCCTGTCCATGACCATCACCACGGACAACGCCATCGCCAGAGAGGGGTTCTCCGCCAACTACACCATCCGAGAGAGGATCCTCCCCCCGGGACACGAAGATGAGGGTGAGCATATGGAGGAAGAGTGATGATGAGGAAGAGGATTTGAAGGGTGGGGGGGGGGAGTGATGGGGAGGGTATACATGTCATCTGGAGAACTGGTGGATTTTAAAACCTTTTTTCAACATCAGAATCAGAATCAGGTTTATAACCAGGTAGGTTTACACGTACAATGAATTTGACTTGGTGTCATGGTGCATACTGTACATAAAAGTACAACAAAAATGAAAAACACAGATGGAGAACGAGAAAAATATTAAAAATAATACAAATATAGTAAAATATTATGTATTTTTATGCCTTTTACAGTATGAAATAATGCCCATAGCAACAGTTGGTATGCATTTTAAAGCCATTTTTTCACACATGTAATCAGCTGTGAGTTATTTTGATTCTGATTTAAAGCAAGAGGAAGACGTGATGTCCGACCCATACTAAATATTATGTTAAATTAACAATCATTAAAGCTTGAAAACATTCAAATCCTCACATTTGTTGCGATTTGGTTTGGCAATTATAATGGTTTCGAGTCCATTTACTCTACGCTTCATTTCAACAAATTGACTCAAAACCACTATGTGTACCACTTACCCATTACATGTATTCTTCCTCCCCCCCTGTCACAGTTAATTTCAGTATTTGTAAAGTTAATTCTCTGCATTTAAGGACACAACAGTGTGAATGTAGTCTTATCACATAGCAGTAACAGTTGTGATAAAAACTGCTTATCATTTCACCTCCTTTGAACTCTTTTTGAACAAGTCACACACAACGATGGTTTCATAAAGAGTTTCTCATGCTTGGTGATAGATATCTTATTCTAGCGTTGTGTTTGTTCTTGTCCACATGTCCTCTTAAAAAAGGACTGTGGTTTATCGGTTTACGTTGCAGGAAGGCCTGTAGAGAGTTAAGTTATGCTATCCGTATGGTGCGTGCCCTCTTAACCTCAACCCCACTCGCCCCTGTTTAGGAATGTGAGTGTGTGAAGAAAGGTGAGTTTACGTAAGGTCCCTCGTTACGTAACATGAGCGCCTTGGGAGAAATGAACGTAAAACCTCTAGTTTTGCTTCTGTAAACTGATATTTAACAACTAAAAGTCTGTAGATTTGTTTATATGTTGAGTTTGAGTCAGGATGATATCCTTTTTCTGACGATTTACAACTGCACACATTGGTCAGTGAAGCTCCGTAAATCTTTGTTCTCACTTTGTTTTCAGTGAATTATTCTAATAGACAAGGAACACAGGATTTTGAAAATGGTCAAAAACGACACAAACGGCTTCGATAATATCCTGTTATTGAGAAATGTGGATCACCTCCTGGATCATTCAGTAGATGTAGAGTAGAGCTTTCAATTATCAAATGATATTAATCAGCAAATGGAGTTCCATGTTGACTGGTTCAAATATCCATCAAATAAGAAACAAAAACGTTGACAGAGAAGACTTTGTTTCAGGTGAAGAGGTGCATAATGTAAAGCCTTATTTAACCTTTTAATTTGAGGAATAATGTGTTTGAATTGAAATGTCCACACCAACTTCAATACTAAATAAAATGTAAGAAACATCTGTTGCTTTATGCTAGAGTTAAAAACAAAATCCATTACATTGAATACATCAGAATCAAGATGGTTGGTCTTTATGGAGGGGTAGCCTTAATCTGCCAAAGAAGGTTGGAAAACGTATATCCCAAGCTTGGTCTTCATCCCTTGGGATTCTCAGAAAGAACCTCCATTGAAGCAGGATCTTTGCTAACAGCCTCTAAAGAACCAAACCCTGACATCCTGCAGTGGATTTATGGTTTTCTCTTGCTGTGCCTCGGGGCCATCACCTTTAGAAATGGCCTCCAGCCAGCAGGCCTTTGATCAGCTGAACGATCAGCGGGGGCGTCTTTCTTTCACGTCCTTTCTGTCTTTTGGGATGGTGAGGTGGAGGTTTGTTCCCTAGCCTGCTGTGAGGGAGACTTTGAGGCTTGTCTCATGAATGGAAATGAGGAAAGAGCAAAAATAAATGTGTCTAGGTTGGAGGCAATGAGAACGCTCTGAGTGATTTCTGTACTAAATTCCTGCATTCGCTTATAATGTTGCAAACAAACCTTTTCCCTTATTTATTTTTAGAACGTGGAATGATGTAAGGGTGTTTGTGTCCGTCTGACAGACCTAGTGTCTCCAGACTGGCCACACACACACACACACACACACACACACACACACACACACACACACACACACACACACACACACACACACACACACACACACACACACACACACACACACACACGTTTCCTTTTGTTGCCCCGTCCTTCTTCCTGCCCCACGCTCCCCTACTGTGAGAGTGGACAGTGTAGCAACAGAAGACACTGACATGTAGTTTGAGTTTCTCCAAATGCTGTTTTGAAACTGTTTTGTAAACCCACAGGATTGTCCAATGTTCTCAATCCATTCTTTAGTTTGAATGAGAACATTAGCTAAATTAGAGCTTTCTCTGCTAACGCCTTCAGTAGCAGTGTGTGCCTTTGTGTGTGTATGTGTGTGTGTGTGTGTGTGTGTGTGTGTGTGTGTGTGTGTGTGTGTGTGTGTGTGTGTGTGTGGGTGTGTCTGTGTTGTACAGACATAATAAAAACATCCTGCCTAAGCTAAAATAATTAGTTGATCCACAGGAAATTAATTCACAACTATTTTTAATAACCGGATAATCCCTTAAAGTCGTTAATCAAGTAACAAATATCTTCATCTATCCTTCCTAATGTGAAGATTCAGTGTTTTTGTTTGGTTTAATAACATCGCACATTGATTTAATTTCAGCTTGGGTCTTTGTTAGGAAAGAAAACAGGAAACAATTAGATTTTAATTTAGGGTCTGAGAGGCTGATGTGATTGCCTCAAAGTTATTTTGACAACAACATATTCTTTGTTATTATTAGATGGATGGATGGATGGTAGGTAGGTAGGTAGGTAGGTAGGTAGGTAGGTAGGTAGGTAGGTAGGTAGGTAGGTAGGTAGGTAGGTAGGTAGGTAGGTAGGTAGGTAGGTAGGTAGGTAGGTAGGTAGGTACTTTATGGAGAAATGTTTGCATTGCAGCAGCATAAAAAACAAGGCAATGTACATAAGAGAAATGAAGATACTAGAAATAAACAGTTTAAAATATATACATACATGAGGAAAATATACATGTGGAAATACACATTTCCATTAACAAATATAAGGTAGGATATTATTGTGCAGGAAGTTGTTCAGTCCAGTTATTAGTTTGTCATCATAAACGCCATTCATCAGTATGTTGTTTTTTAAATTAAAGTGACAGAATTAGCTGTTTTTTAAGTAAGTTTTAAATCCAAACATCTGCATGTTGAGAACTTGTGTGAATGTATGAATGCTTTAAGAACTCTAGGGTGCTTCGTCACCACACAGTGTTTTTTAGTACCACCCAAGGAGCAGTTTGACTCCTTTATGACCGCCCGCCCAGCAGGGAGCAGGACAGAGACTTCACAGTGTCTGGGTGACTCTCCGGTCACAATGCTCTCTTGTTTTTCTGCCCGAGTCAGAGACAAAACAAGCTTTTCTCTCAGATTTATGACTGTCGTTTGAGAGGTTTCCCTCAGAGTCGCTTAGATGTTGTATTCAGCCATTAGCAATCGCAATGTGGAGAGCAACATACCAACATTTAGCTCATCTAATGATGCATGAAATAAAATGATTTAAACTCATTAAACAGGTGATTCTGATGATAAACAATTCCCTTTATGATCCGCATTTGGAATAATAACAACAGTTTATTCATACGTAGCTTGTGATATTTTGGACTGACTTCCCCCTATTTTGTGTTACGGAATTTTATTTTAAAAGTATTTCTGGTATTTCAAGACACAAGAAGACCACCTTATTAATCTAAGAAAGGTACAAGTAATGAGTGGTGTGTTATTTTATGTCATTTACTATGACATAGACCCATTTGCAGGATCACTTGATTTCAACGAGTTGTTACTTGTTCCACACTGATACTAAAAATAGAAAGTCAATAAAATATATATATAAGATATGTTTTCAACCCATATTTTCTAGCCCAGCGGTTCCCAACCTGTTTCAACTCAGGGGCCCACTTACAACACGGAGGCTAAATAAAGTTCTGATTGGTCGATTCAGAACATGTGACACGAAATCCAGTTGTAGAGACCGCTGTCAAGGACTGTTGCTAAGGAGGATTAAGAAAGAGAAAGGAAAGGAGTTTCAAATAAAAAAGAAATCTTAAAAGTGAAAATGTTTCCACACAAATCATAATGTTTTGCAAATGTATTTCAGGTTGGGAACGGCTGCTCTAGCCATCACATAGAGTCAGTGGTTCTGTACAAATATATTTAAGAAATCCCTTGTAGGACTCTCTCGTTGTACTCGTTGTTAATGGACTTCTTCTGTCTGTGGCAGACTTCGCCTGCATGGAGCCGCTGGGCATGGAGTCGGGGGAGATCACCTCGGAGCAGATCAGCGCCTCGTCGCAGTATAACTCCAACTGGTCCCCCGAACGCTCGCGGCTGAACTACGAGGAGAACGGCTGGACGCCCTCTGATGACACCGTCAGGGAGTGGGTGCAGGTCAGTGACATTCGGCTCTTTTAGAAGTCGAGGGATCCCTTTTTCCCAAATATTTTCATTTGAGAAGAAGCATACAAGTGTAAGCAATAGTGCAGAAGTCTTTGGGGTGGAAATCATGCTTCCCTTTTCAAAGTCAAAGTCAACTTTATTGTCAAGAATGTGTTATACATACAGAAAATTTGAAATACCGTTTCTCGCAGTCCCACAGTGTGACATATATAAAAAGATACTCAAAGGGCCTGGATAAAAGGGGTATGAAAACTAAGTAATGAGTAGTAATAAGTACTGGGTAATAAATATATTTAAAACACAAAAACACAACCAACAGAAACATGAATGTGACATTAGGGAAAGTTTTCCTTAAAGCAAAACAAATCATGTTCGAAGTACAGNTTTAACATTTGTTTCTATATGTTTCTAGTTATTGTGCTTTTTATCATATTTTTAATTATTGTTTATTATTTTACTCCCATTGTGTTATTTTATATTGTATTTATTCCCTGTACAGCACTTTGGTCAACTGATGCTGTTTTAAATGATACAATATAAAATAACACAATGGGAGTAAAATAATAAACAATAATTAAAAATATGATAAAAAGCACAATAACTAGAAACATATAGAAACAAATGTTAAAATGTTATGTTCAACTAGTATTAAAGATTACAAGGTACACACACACACTTTTATTGTGTTACGCTCTTTTCTCCCTGCCTGGGTTTGTCTAACTTTCATTAAAAGTGTAAATATATTCTCTTGTTGTTGATAAGTAACCTCCCAAAACCAAGTGTTTCTCCTCACCTGCAGGGAAGCCGTCCCAGATCTCCAGCCAGTCGTATCGGCAGAGCGCGCCCGGCGGCGGCGTGGTGTCGGGCTCCATGTCGAAGCTGTCGAACTCCACCACGATCTCAGACATCTGGGGGGCGAAGATCATGAAGGTGCAGTCCAGGTTGTTGGGGTACTTCTCGGGGAAGCCCGGTGTCTTGATGACGCCTCGGGGAGCCGTAAAGTTCCTGGAACATTCTGGACCTGCGAGGACAGAAGACATCGAAGAGTTTTTAAAAGTGTCAGGACGTGTTTGGACAGAGTGATTAATTCTCTCCTGGACTGAGGTGTGAACTCTCGAGGGTCGCTGTTCACACATCACTTGCACTTTAAATGACTCTCTGCAAAATGAGATGGTAGTGAAAGCCGAGACCCTGACTGATTGATTCTGTTCAATATATTGTCTGTTTTATTGACATTTTAGTCTTTCCTGCTGCAAAAAACGTTTTGGAAATGCACATAAAACCTTACGTTTTTCACCATTTTGGTGTCTAAAACTTTGACCTGTCAACTTTTACAACTTCACTAGAAGAGATTTATGTCGCCTGAGTCCTTGTGAGTCAAAAGTAAAACTAGATTTTCTCCAAAACAACAAGGACAATTCTGGGAAAAATCTTTAAATTAGATTATAGAGTTCTATTTCTTTTTGTACAAACAAAGACATGAAATAAGAAAGACTGGATCCAGATGAACTTACTTTTTTTGTAAAAATGTTATAATAAATGTATTTAAACATGTTCTTATTGTGTTTATGTATGCTCCGAATACACCCACTCCAATTCCTTGTATGTGTGAAACTACTTGGCAAAACACCTGATTCTAATTCTGATAAATAAACAATATTGCTTAAAAAATGGCTGATTTGTAAAATGGAAAAAGACCAAAAGGTAATCTGTAAGTGCTGGAAACAGATTGTCTTTTAACATAAGTTACATGTTATTGACCAAACTCATGTAACCTCCAGGCAATCAGACAAACAGGGGCATTATTGTTGGAGCCGTCTGTGTCTGTGTTGTGACTGGAAGGGGGGGGGTTTATTGACAGTCCAGAGTCCAGACACTGAGAGGCTGTTTACAGACAACAAACAATGACATCCACACACAGACAGACAGACAGACAGACAGACAGACAGACAGACAGACAGACAGACAGACAGACAGACAGACAGACAGACAGACACACACACACACACACACACACACACACACACACACACACACACACACACACACACACACACACACACACACACACACACACACACCCCGATTAGCTCATTAGACGAGTGCACACACACGTTACCTACATAGTCATTCAACCACAACATCATAATTTCTGTGAGAAGTCAAATATCTGAGCTTTCATTTAATTTGGATTTAACCGTGTTATCTCAGGTTTAACACTTATATAATAAGGGTTTTATAAATTAACTTACACAACAGGAAATCCACACAAACGATATCCTGTTGTTTTGCACCTTTTGGACGTTGATATTTCATTTCTCACACTTGCATTCATGCATTTTGCACGTAACACCTTCAGGTGATAAAACCCTCATCTGTGTTGTGTTTACGTATCTCAGCTTTTTATATTCATCTCACCATTGTTTCCGAATGGTGTGAGGTTGTTGTGTTAAATCATGAACAACGCATTCATTCCTGTTGATGTTAAACGAGTAAAGACTTGAATTCTAAAGATATATAACGAGGTATATTTCTGCCAGATTTACTTCTTCACTTGGTTTTCCTAACAAGGAACACATTTGTTTTTGCTCTAACGTTCACGCATTTGGACATAAGCTAAGTTAACGTATTGATCTTCATGTTCTGAGATTTCCATGCATGAATCTGCAACAAAGAAAGCCAGCGTTTTGAAGCATGGATGTTTGCAGGGTTGCCATGGAGCTCATGTGTACCATGTTGGCACTGTGGGACTTTGATCATGATGTAACACAAGCACAGAGAGCATTACGCAAGAGAGACTTTGTAGATAATGTCTTTCAGTTCCAACACAAACACAAAACAACAAAACATCGACTGTAGTTGCAGAAAGCCTAACACTTCCTAGAAAGCATCCCATGCTCCAGTAAGTCGTAAGACGGTTTCATAAAGCCCTTTCAAAATCAATCATTTTAAAATCAACAAAACCCCAACAACAAACAGAGCAGCAGCTGTTATGTCATTGTCGGTTTTCTGTTTTCTCCACAGTAACATCCACGCAGTTGATGTGGAAAATCTCTGTGTCGGCTCGCATCAGTCACCTTTCCGCTGGCAGTTCACACCTCGCTCGTTGTAAAGTGACAAGAGCGAGGTTTACGAGACGGAGACTGATCTCTGTGGGTGGAAGACGACACGAGGGTCAAGCATCCCTCTGAGGCACGAGCTGTGTGTGTGTGTGTGTGTGTGTGTGCGTGCGTGCGTGCGTGCGTGTGGTGAAGCTATTAACGTGTGTCCAGGCAGGGTGACAGCCATGCACATCTGAGCATGCCTGTAGAATGCATGAAATACACACACACACACCACACACACACACCACACACACACACACACACACACACCACACACACCACACACACACACTTGGAGTGGACCCCCTGCTGTTGACACAGGGTGGTGTCATTAAAAGTGGCGACATGATGAATTGATTTGGAGGGATATGAGGCAGGCTTCTGATTCCTGCCTCAGCTGGCACACTTTCCAATGTGTTGTTGTGTATCTATGTGTCTCTGTGTGTGTGTGTGTGTTGTGTGTGTGTGTGTAGTGTGTGTGTGTGTGTGTGTGTGTGTGTGTGTGTGTGTCAAATGTACAGATGGGTTGGATGTAAATCTACTCGCTCAAGAGAAAGTCTATGTGCTATGTATTCAACGGTCACGAATGAATGTGATTTCACAGCACCAAAAATTCCTTGAAAACTCGATTTTTTCACTTTTCTGTGCTATAAAGTGATGATGTGAGAATTTGAACCTCATGGGCCACTGTAGGATGTTTTGTTGTGCCTCTCCCCAGCTGACTCTTTTCAAAGTGTTGTGACGGGAGCAACAGATCACCTTTTAGATCTGCAGACAAGCCTTTGAGAAGTGGAATAAATGGCTTGATCTAAATAAACTGCTGCCACAACAATATGTGAACCATCAGAGCCTGAATACCAAGAGCATAACTCATAAATATAGATCATAAAAGGTAAATATTTTTTAATCAAATCCTAGCATCATAAAATATGGAATTCCTTTGCGGTGGCTGAATTGTCTAACAAAAGTCAATTTGATTGTAATAAATCTGCACCAAAGCCCCCAAATAATCACTTTCTTGGTGAAACAAAGAACATCATTGCGTCTTCAAAAGGGAAAGTTGTTGGCCTCCCAAAAAAATACGAAGCAAGCGCCAAAAGTTCACATGGCACGTGGCCGACAGATGCAAATGCAAAAACACAAATGTGCAAAACACACGCAAATGAAAGAAACATCTCACAAACTTCACAAAAGCATGCGCAGCGTTAGAAAAAGACGTTTTTACAAACTCAACGAAACACGTGAACCATTACTAAAAGCGATGCATAAACGAAAATCTGCAAATGCAAAACCTGCAAGAAGCTCAAAATCACAAATCTGACAAGTATCAATAATAAATGTGAAAATAAAAAGTGACAATTATAAAAGTGACGCACACAGCAGGAACGAGCATTTTGTTAAGGTTCAGGATTCATATAATCATCATACCTTTCTCTCTTGGCAGTGATAGCCTG